TCCACGACTGAAGATGTATAAGTGATCATCTTAGGGGGGAGGTGTTGTAGGGACTGTGTTTAGTCATGTTATAACTTGCTCTGTCTTTGTATTTTCCCAGTGCTATATGTGATAGCCAAGATAGCGGGATATACACCCATCCTTTATTGTTCATCCAGTCTCATTCTGTACGTGACGCTACTCGAGCCAGGTGGCCTCTCAACTTTGTGTGAATAAACCATTCACCATCAAGGCGTTCCACAACACAACCTATAGGTAAAAATCTGTAAATGCGAACGTAGCAAGTTCTAAGAAGTTGCATACGCCGAAAATTGAAGATTTGCTCAAGACGATCAAAATGTACTCAAAGCTCAAGAGTGATTTTGAATATTGGTGGGGGCCAACTGCAGTCGTAAAAGCCTATATCACGCAAACTTGATGTTTGAACATATTTCTTTCTGCCCATCGGCATCTCACAATATTCGGATAGTCAGTCACTGACTAAATGACCTGAATCCCTGAAGTGAAGTACATCGCAAGGAGTAGTAAGTGACATATCAAAATATATCAAAGTATACTAGCCAACAGGCAAGCGCAAGCTGTCGAACCGTTGTTATTTGAGATCTGGCCATATTTTGGCGGTTACGAAATTAGCCACATTCCAGCGATCCCATGAGTGCCGATTTGTGAGCCTATGTAATATGGCACTTCTCTTACCCTGTACATAGCCTGAATAACAAAAGAGGTGTTCACTAATGAATTATGACATTCCATCAAATAGGACGTTTCAAATGACAAGAAGTATCTGCTCACCAGGGAGACTACACCAATGATGAAACATGGGAGTCTCCGTCCTTAACTCTCAGATGATTTTAGATTAAAAATACAGTAACGTCCGTATTTATGCTTGTTTATGGCCCTAAATGCTGAACCTTTAAAATTTGCTTGTACGAAGAATAATTATATGTATGGGCATTGATAACAGCAAAGAATGATCAAAAAATCTCCAAGGGCATGGCTTGCTCATAGTCGATTTAGTTAGTCAAATATTTCTTATATTTCCAACTTATCCACAATTCATAGACTGTCCAATGAAAAACTCATCCATAAACTTCTGGTAACGAAGATGTTTCAGCATAGAAGATTCCGTTCAAGAATATCATACTACGTAGTTATAAACGGCAAATAGTGTACAGCATGCATGATCTTTGTAATTTGGCACGTGGGCATGCTAAAATTCAACGTTGACCGAGAATTTCTCGGTCGCAGGTCAAATTTTAGTTTTTTTAGTATTTCATTTCCGTTCTGTTTTCCCCTATTTTGACTGTATAGTCTCTTATGAAGAATCTGTTTTTTAACGGCTGCTTACACAAACATTTACAGCATTACTTTTTTCCGTTCTCTATACTTTTCCATCATTTTTGTTCAGCGCTACCTGTAATTTTTGCATCTCCTCTGTTCGTTCAAATTTTATTGCTCTGAGGGTCTTTTTGAGCACTGATGCAAGACATCAGCTTCGTCTTATATTCATTCATTGCGCACTGTAAAATGATTGGCAATGACAGACTCCGCACCGTCACACGTATAGCTTTGATTCTTCCCTATATGTTCCTATCTCACTTTAGCCATCACTGTATTAGTTCTGGCTGAAGGTAGACTACTCTATCTTATAGGTAACATTAATGTG